CATTGTTTACTTACCAAATTCGAATAAACTAGTAAATAGCAACTACATGTTTGAAGATGAATACATTGTATAGACTCTAGAATGAGTCTCAGACAAAAAAAAAATCTCTGGTGATGGCAGCAAGTGGCTTGAGACACAAGTACCAGAGTGATAACGTCTTTACAAAAATGTCATGATCTTTGTCATCATTGGCACTATATATGGAGAGTCAGATTCTAGTATAGCAGCAGCACTTGGCTTGAGATATAGACTAGGTTATTAAAAAAATTCAAAAATAGGTCAGAGAAAATTTTAAAGTTAAGTTAGTCTTACAACAGAGATATACAAATATTGTATCTAGTATATAATTTTTTAAATTACTTGGCACAAGTTATAATAGTATATCAAATTGCTTAATTTTTTCTTTTTTCTGTTTGTTTCATCTATTTTTATTTATATTAGAATCAGTTTAGATTTCTTTTTTCTTTTTTTTTGTTGTTTTATTTTCTTTTTTGAGTTCTGTCTTCTTTTTTTTAGAATTACTTCTATTTTTTTTTAGTTATGAAGAAGCCTTTAGAGATTTTCTTTAAATTTGTTTTTCTTCATGATTTTGGCATATATATTAGTCTTATATAGAAATAGAAGATAATATAATCTGCTTAGATTTAAATAGATTGAGTTTAGAAGAAGATATTATTAAAATTTTAGATGAGATAAGTTTGAAAGAAGAGATCAGCTCTTAAAAAAAGTCTTTCTTTTATAAATTGGCATATATGTTTGTACTATGCAGAAGTAGGAGAAAATATATTCTGCTCGAATATTGATGAAATAAGTTTAGAAAGAAGACAAGATGTAATCAGTTTAAATGTAGGTAGCTGAGTACCAAGCTATAGCAGGTTTTTAAATATGAGTAGCACTGTATATAGAGCTTGTTGGCAACATCAGTGTGATAATTATACTTGGGTACTTTTATAGCAGCCAGGTATATATCTAATATGTAAATTAAATAGTTAATTTTGTAAATTATAAAGATTCTAATAAATTAGTACAAGGTTATCAAAGGGAAAAAAAAAAAAAATTACAACTTTTATTATTGCATTTTTAATAATTTACTTATAAAAATTAAGACTTGTTTTAAAAGTAAAAATTTTTTTTAAAGGCAAAAACATATAAAAGTTAAGAAAAGTTAAAGAAAAAATTTTATAGTAAAATTCTAATACAAAAACTTTAAACTTTTATTATACTAAAGTTTTTTAGTAATTTTAAAAAATTTTCTTAACAAAGTTTATAAAACAAATCTAAAATTAAATATTTTACTTAGAAAATATATAGCTAAAATCAATATTTAAGATTTTATTAAAAAATTAAAATTTTAAAAAAGTTTGTAGACAATTTGTTTGCAATCCAAATTAAAGAATATTGAACTAAACTAAACCTAAAACTCTAGTTAGCTTTTACTAATCTCTAAATTATGAAGAATTTTATATAGTCTAAAGCAGTATTATTACTTGGCTAAAATGGTTAAAAAAATTTTGCTAATTTGGCTAATAATATTAAATAAAGTACTAAAATATATCAATAGTAAATAAAACAAATACAGTCGACTTTCTCTAAGTGCAGCTTACCAGAATCTATAAAATTTTCTTAAGTAAAAAAAAATCCTGCATTTAGAAAGAACCTGCACTTAAAGAATATAAGTTTATTATAATTTTATATAGCTTGAGACCAAAAAAAACCTGCATTTAGAGAGAATTTAATATGATTTGCACTTAAAAACATGTATTTAGAAAAAGTCGACTATAACTCTTTTAATTAATAATCTATTTGTTACTTGGAGAGGATTTGCAAAATTTTATAAATAAAGTTTATTATTGACTTAAATGTAGTGAGCCTATATCTAAAACTTTTTTTTTATTAAGACAATCAATCTTGTCAATTAATTGAAAGTTGTAGAGCTCATCAAGATGCATCTAATAGTGTAAGAGCATCAAAATCAGCCTAGTAGTTCTTGAGATATCTTTAAAAAACGTCATATGTACATATAAAATTCCTTTAAAAAAAGAAAAATTTTTTTAAAGGAATTTTATGTGTATGAGATGTTTTTTAAAGATATTTCAAGAATCACCAAGCCGATTTTGACACTTTTACTACTATTAGATACATCTTGATGAGCTCTACAACTTTCAATTAATTGACAAGATTAATTGTCTTAGTAAAAAAAAAGTTTTAGATATAGGCTTGCTATATTTAGATCAATAGTATAAAATTTTGCAGATCTCCTCCAGGTAACAAATGGATTATTAATTAAATAATTACTAAAACCAAAAATTCTAAACCAAATTTTTGCTAAAAACACAGTAACTTGTAGTAAATAACTAAGGATATAAGACTAAAAACTATAAGATGGCAGTTGTTATTTAAAAGTATTTCTCATATACTACTTACTAATAACTTTAGAGTTTATTACTTACTACATATATAGCACTTGTTGTTTAGAAGTAGTTCTTATACACTACTTGCTAACAAACCCAAAGTTTATTATTTATTAACAAGCAAAGTATAGCAGCCCCACCTCTTTTTTAGAAGAAGATTTATTAGTTGTTGGTCTTTTTAAAAATAAAAATACTTTTGTTAAATGCTAGTAGTCATTTCCATAGGTTTCTCTTATTTTTGCCAGTCTTTACCAAAATTTTTAATAAAAAGTAGGCGATTTGGCTTATTTTTTCCAAAAAATTGGCATTGTTTATATCCCAAATTCGGACAAACTCAATAAAATGCAACCATATATCTTGTTTATTTATGAATACAATGCTACTTTATATAACTTGAATTGGGGTTTTTAGTTAAAGAGGTATCCAAAGTTGGTTGATAGTTGAACAATGTATACATTAAAGCATTGCTTTACATTAGAGATATACAATTGTTGCAGTTGTTATATAATTTTTACTATACTTGGCACAGGTTATAATAGTGTATCTCCTTTTCGTTTAAACTTTCAGGTAGCTTACTACTTCTTAATAGAGATAGTTTCTTTCTTTATTAGCCCTCAGGCTTTTCTTTTTGTTTTTTTTTTGCACTTTCTTGTTCTTTCTTTTGTTTTTCTTTAAATTTTCTCTTTTGTTTAATTTATTTTTTTTAGATATAAATTTCTTTTTTTTCATTGGTAGGTGATTTTGTATTGATATAAAATTATCTCTTTCTTTTGCTCTCAGTAAAGAAAAAAGAATTGAAGAGAATAGGCTAACAAAGTCTATCTAATTTGTATACAGATCAGTATAACAGGTTGCTGATGGGCATGTTTTATCATAGCCATGAGATGTCAAGTTTGCAATTTTTAGCTTAAACTTGTTTAATTTAGGAATGGTTTACCATTACTTATTTGAATAAATAAAATTGCTTGTATTTGAGCTCTAGCAAGATTATCAAAGAGCTAAAAAAAAAAAATAGTAAATAAAACTTGAGTGCCATAAGTGCTAACTAGTAGATTACATGATTAGTATCCAGCTAATAATAAGAATTAAATTCTCATGTATTATAAGCCTCATTCTCTCTATAAAGATTGTATACTAGTGTTCCAAATTGAAAATCAATTAATTAGAATTGACAACTATTTTATTAGACAACTAATCGATTGTCGACGATTAATCGACTGATTAATCGACTAGTTAATTAATCGATTAGTTGACTAGTTGACTAGTTGTTTTATATAGTATCATACATTGATCTTGTAATTAATGTCTACGCAATTATATCGATATATATACTATATATATATATAGTTAATTAATCGATTAATTGACTAGTCGATTAGTTGGCTATAATCGATTTTTAATCAATTTTAAAAATTTTTTAATCGATTGCATTTTTTGGACCGATTTGTAACACTATAATATACAACAGGCCGTTATTATGATGAATTTACTAATGCTACGTATATAGTATGTTATATATTAACTTTTAATAGATTTTTTTGTACCATATGTACGTAAGTCTGTACATATTTCTAATTGCGTCTAATCTTGGCCTATTGGTCAATTGGCCGTGGTCAAATTGGCCATTAGGCCAGCATTTTTATTTGGCCGCTGCCAATTGCCAATCAACTTTGGCCGCAAAATCTTGGCCATTTTTTGGCCGGGCAGGCAATTATCGGCCAACGGCCAATTTAATTATTTGGCCGATGCAAATTGCCAATACTGGTCTAAGGTAAGGCAAGTTAATTTTGATTCTCATAGGCCGTTCGGGTCAAAATTGATAAAAAAATTAAGCATATTTACTATCCAGATAATAGTCACTTGTTTTAAAAACTTAAAAAAGAACCAAAAATAACTTTATATAGTCTAATATATGTAACACAGCAAAAAAATCTTTTTTAAAAGTTAGCTTACAAGATTTTATTTTGACTATCATCTAATCTTAACCTTATTAAGCACCTTTAATATGAAATTAATATCTTGCAAGATAATTTGGAATGGCGTTGTTAGCAGGCTTATTATACCTGCGTAAATAAACACAATGTGAAGAAAGAGTATACAAAATACTAATTATGGCGCACATATAGTTACAGTGAAAAATTTTTTCAGCTTAATGCCTCATTTAGCTCTTCTGCATCAATTCACTAAGGCACTTGAGAAGCAGATTCTTAATATCGCTTATATCCAAGATATCGAAGTTGGGGCTTTATTGAGACAGGAAAAAATGTTGCTTTTATACATTTTCACAATTAGAATTAAAAATAAATAAATAATGATCATAGAAATTGAAAGAAATAAATGAATACAAATATTCGTGATATATAATCCCAGCCTCTCGGTCTCAATCATGGTTTATCACAAATTATGAACCGAGACAGACCAAATCAAAGTTAAGTATTTGATCACCAAAAAATGAAATAATTTAGGTAGTATTTCAGGATAAATCGGGCTTATTTTGCGACAACATGGTAAGTCAATATGAATAAAATTTGATTAATATTGGTTGTCGAAAAAAAAGAAAAAAGAAATTGTACTTCGTAATACATGAGATTACTGTTTTCGGGTGAAGAAGCTCTTAGCCCTCGCCAAAATGCTCTTTCTCTTTGGAGATGGAACTTTTGGAAGATCTTTGTTTACATCTGATGATGATTGATCCTTTGTAATCTCTCTGGTAGCTTCGGTATTAGTTTCATTCACTGGAACTTCTGCCTTAGCTTGATTCTCTGTAGTCTTGGCTACTGTGTCGGTCGCAGTCGCTGCTGTATCGGTCGTAGTCACTGCTGTAGGTTCTTCGGTCTTAGTCACGGTTTCCTTATTTGATGCGTCAGTTACAGCCTCTTCAGCTTTGGTTGCAGGCTCTTCAGCTTTGGTTACAGGCTCTTCAGCTTTGGTTACAGGCTCTTCAGCTTTGGTTGTAGGCTCTTCAGCTTTGGTTGCAGGCTCCTCAGCTTTGGTTGCAGGCTCCTCAGCTTTGGTTGCAGGCTCCTCAGCTTTGGTTGCGGGCTCCTCAGCTTTGGTTGCGGGCTCCTCAGCTTTGATTGCGGGCTCCTCAGATTCAGTTGCAGGCTCCTCAGATTTAGTTGCAGGCTCCTCAGATTTAGTTGCAGTCTCTTCAGATTTAGTTGCAGCCTCATCACTATTAGTTGCAACTACATCAGCATTGACAGGTTTATCAGTCTCAGTTTTGACTGCATTTTCTTCCTGTTTAACTTTCGCAGCGTCGTCAGCTGTCTCCGAAGTTTTAGTTTCATTGTCAACGGGCTCTGTGGGTTTTTCAGCGTCTGCGTTTGGGATAGACTGTCCCTCATCCGCAGTACTCATGATGAGACAAACTTTATGATAAAGGCTTATGTTGAAGGTGTAAGTTCGGCTCAAGTACGTATATATTGTATGTTCAATTTGGCATGTGGGCGATAAGGATACCTAAAAAGGAAATTGAATGTCTTTAGTTGGTAGTGCGAGTTATTGCGTTATAACGTAGGCCGATCGTGTAAAAGTGCACAAATCGTATGATCTTTTTATTGTATATTATGTATATTAGTTTCGCGTTAAAAGGTTAAAATTTCGTCGCTAGAAAAAAACAATCTCATCGAATCAGTTAGAGGTTGTCCTTTTTGACAAAAGCCGAATTTACATTTGACAATGGATTTCAAAAGTCACGTTGCAATTGCATAATTATGCTAGTACGTACGTACGTACGTATACGTATCCTAATTTTTTTTTGGTCATTTACAAGTGTAAATGGCCAAACGCAAATCTGCATCGTTATAAATTACTTGAGTTGTATTACATTCAGAATTAGCTAGTGCAGATTTACATGTGACAGTAATTATTTATAATAAATTCTAATTAATGTAGGTACGAAGGTGTTCTAAAACATTGTTCGTACGTACGTACGTATATAATGCTATAAAATTGATTATATATTAATTAATATTGTGATAAACTAGATGTCGAGATAATTAGAAATTAGATACGTAACATTATAAATGCGTATTACAAGGCTTTAGCTTTAGTACGTACGTATGTACGTAAATTTTAATAAAATTTATATTAAATATTTCCTATCGCATGAAGTTTCAAAAAAAAAACATATATATATATTTTAATGTTAAAGTGACCTCTTTGGCTATATCTTTTTATTAGGAGTATTATTTCAGATTACAGTAAGAGTCATACGTACAACTTTTGGTTATCTATTTAAGTAGTCTGCCTATTGGATTTTACACTAGCTGCAATCTAACTATATAACTTTTGGTTACCTATTTAAGTAGTTTGTTTTGGGTTTTACATACCTGCAATTTAACTAGAAGATTATCTATTTTAAACTCTAGTTTATAAATCTGCTTAAGTAGACTTATAACCTATTTCTGGATTTTGATTTATACTTTAGGACTTGGTTATATTCTTGAGGTAAATTTACCAGAGTCTTTATATTTTATATTTGGCTAACCTGGATTATTTACTATACAGGTAAATTTTATATATATATATATATATTTTAAAATTTAGCAGCCATGCCAAAACTTTATTAGGCATAAAATAAACAAACTACTCTAGTTTACTATTCTTACCAAACAATTGTTCTAGTCACCTAAGTTACAAGTTTTAACTAATCTAGTTGCATCAGATGTGTACCTATGTTTGACCTGCTATAGTAAATTTTATCTTCTTACTTATTACTTCTGTACTTGAAGTAAATAAGTATATCAATAAACAGCATTTATAGCATGTCATGGCTACTAATTTCTTTAAGATTCTCTTTTTTTTTTTTTTTTTTTTTTATTATTGTTAATGTTATATATAGAAAAGCAAATAACTTTTACAAAGTATCACATGAATACATAATAGTTAAACAGATAGAATTTCTATAGCATCAAGATTGACATGACATTACACCTCCAATTTTCTATTTTAAAACTAATTTAAGTTAGTAAACTACTATTAGCTAAAGAAAGACTGGGGGAAAACCTTGTTAGTATAAGATAGTAGTATATATATATGTATGAAAATTGAGATAGTTGAGATAGAGCTAAAAGGATATTGTAAAATAAATAATAATAATAATAAAGAGTAAAGTTAGATAAATAAAAAAAATAAAAATAAAAATAAAATGAAAGATAATAATAGTATTTAAAAAAGAAAAAAAATATAAAATTTTAATTTATAACCCTGCAGTGCTATGTATTTAAAGCATAGTATATAAGAGAACTTATAAGAAAAAGCTAAATAAATAATAATTAAAGTAAAAAAAAGAAAAAGAATATATTCGTATTGTAGTAGGTAATGCTACCTTGGTGCACCAGGTCTAAACATGCTACTATAGGGTTTGAACGTACAGCCCTGCAGTGCAATACGCTCTAACCACTGTACTACAAATGTTATGATAATGAAACTCATTTTTTGAAAGGTTTATTTGGGTAGGATTTACCAATTAGATTGTCTGATTTGATCACGTGTTAATTGTTGGAAGATTTTGTGTTGTACAATAGATATATTTATTTTAAAGTTTTTTGTTTAGAGTTGGTTTATATTTTAGACTAAAAATGAGTCAATAAAGTTATTTTAGAAGTCATTTGAAAAGGAGTTTTAAGAGAAGTTTGCCTCTGAAAGAGATTCAAGATTTGCTTCCAAAAGAAAAAGAGGGTTTGGTTTAGGATAATGTTGTAGCTTTAACTCGTGAAGAAGAAATGCTTTTGTCGCAAGTTGAAGTTGTAAAAAACGTTAGTAAAATTTCAGAAGAGCAGGCTAAAGAAATTTATTCTTATGATTTTTTATCATTTGGGTTTTCAAAAGTGGATAGGTATATATTTGTATTATTAATATATATAGGTTGACAATAAAGTTATATTTAAAAAAGTTAATAAAAAGAAATTAATTGTATAGTTTACGAAATG